CAGGTATCCCAGTACTTATGATAGTGACGCACAGGTATCCCAGTACTTATGATAGTGATGCACAGGTATCCCAGTACTTATGATAGTGACGCACAAGTATCCCATCATAAGAAAGTAAAGACTGAATTTTGACGAGTGCTTGTGTTTAAGGTATCCCTGCACAATGTATCTAAAGTACCCCTAGCGACCGGTATGTATTAACTCGTCATAGCAAATCGAGGGAGAGATGCAACGAACTCTACTCACACTTGATACCAAGTCCAGGAATTCTTAGAGAGCGCATTCATGATGAGGTTATGTGTTGTATTTCACAACGTTGATATTTTACCTTTCGTCATTTAGCAAATGCTTCTCAACGCCGCAAGAGACGTCGCATCGGCACTGGGAAATTTGATCAACGCGACTAAGAACTCCTCCGGTAAACCTGCTTCAGATCCTTCAGTAGAACCGCTCAAGGCTGCTGCAAAGGTTAGATAAATAATAACGGTAGCCGGAAATACAAATATGGACGAAAGCATCCCCCCCTCGCTCCATCCTGCTTAACTTCCGGTTCTTGAGAGTAAATTTGTTTTTGCCATGGATATTTTTTGTGGCAAACCTGGTGCACTGTGGTCTCGCTTGGGTACAAAGATCTTTTGTATATTATGCCTTATGTGATGTTTTTTTGTGACCAAGCTAGACCATGATGCGTCATTTCAGAGCGCATGCATAACCCTGTCCACAGGGATCCCAGAGGTTCATTTTTCTGATATATTTCTTCCTAGACAATGGTATCTAACGTGTCGTCTTTGCTCATGACGGTCAAAACCGTGGAAGACAAGACAACAAGAGGAACACGCGCTCTTGAACAAACAAACGAAGCTGTCAAACAAGCTATACTGGTAAGTTTCCGGGTCTTCTTCGGGCTTCCTTCGTATTGTCATAGCCATCTCATCGGTATATCTATTCCAGGTTCTTAATTCTCCATCTCCTCCAACACGTAATGCAACTCCAGAAGACCTTATCCGAAGTACTAAAGGTATTACCTTGGCAACGGCTAAAACGGTTGCCGCAGGTAACTCTTGTAACCAAGACGACGCGATCGCTGCTGCTAATCTGGGGAGGCAAGCTATTACTGATATGTTGACGATGTGCAAGGTAATGATATCCATTCATCCCATTCATTGTATTCCCATTCAATCCATCCATCGCTATACATAAATCCATTCCCGTACATCCATTTTAATCTAACAACTTATCCACCCATCTATCCATACATCCATCTATTAATCCATCCATCGATCTCATCCATCCATCCACCCACCCATCCATCCATCCATCCAT